CATCGTATAATATATGATGACCCCCCCGTGATGATTGAACGGATTACATGCCAGCGCATGTTCAGCCTGACACCACACCACCGTGCCCTTTTTCACGTCAGTTCTACCATGTAACACCTGTCACGTAACTTCTCCCAGTACAACCGTGTGCACGGATATCAGTTGCATGCAAGGTCGGGCCTATCCTTGAAGGGTTGGTTTTTATCTGTCACGTGCGGTCAACTAAATCTCAGTCGGATTTGTTTTACGCCTCCTATTCAGAGCCGGCCTCTTTGCAGTCGGACTATTCGGAGTCTGATTTCGGGAGGTCGTGGAGGATTCATTTCGAAATAATAGTGCTAGACGATTTATCAAAAGCCGAGGAAATGAGGTCACGGCACTTAGCGCCGCCTCTCACCCATCAGTGCGAAAATTTTCACTCTGGCGGACTTACGCAGAACTATTTTGTTGACATCATGAGCCGTGGACATTGTGAACCGCGCAGGCTATGAATTTTGAATATTATTAACTTTGGACATGACACTACGGACACTACGGACATTATGAACTTTGGACGTTATGAGCGCGCCCCCACCTCACACTTTGTTCTGATTTCAGTTTCCGAATGTTTCTGAATATTCGAGCGTTGCTTCTGGTGTTCAAACATTCGCTGTATCTGAATATTGGGCCAAACACTCGAATGTGCCGAATCGGAACGCCCAGCTTTGTTAGGCACTGTAGCATCCGAGCTTGTAAAGCCAGCAACTAAAACTTTACCCAAACTAAAATATTATCCTTCAGCAGCTTACTTTTTCGTCGATCACAGTCATGGATTGCCAACGTTTTAGTAAGTCACTAAATTGCGGTTCGCCCATATAGGAGGTTGCCTCTTTTACGTGTCGCCATTTTGTAATGAGCCATTAAGCCAGTTCGACCTTTTGGCACGCTGGCTTTTCACATGTCGCCATTCCGCAGTTGTCACTAAACAGTAGACAAAAAGACATTCATCACAGGGTTTTTTTCGATGTTTTGTCCTCGAAGCATTGAAGAGATATTGATGAAATCAACAGGAAGCGCACGTGTAGCGCGAGTCTGAACGACGGCTTAGGCGAAAGATAGTGCCGGCGAAAATACTAGAACTTTGTCAAGAAAAAGCGAAGTACTTTTTTAGAGCGCGCAACATAAAAAATATGTCATCGACTACCTCGCATTTTCGGCTGACTTATCAGCCTTGCTATGGCGAGTTACTTCGGAAAGCAGACGATTACGATGTTTAACATGATACAAGTCGCCAATTACTCCATTTAAACAATGTCTGCAGAATGCACACCACCGAAATGAATTGAAAACCCCGGTTTCGAACTGAAAAAAGAGTACATGATTGTAAGTACCGCCATAAAAGAACATCGATAACTGTATACAAACTGGCATGTCAGAGTTAGCGATAACAGCTTCACTTTGTTGTCATGGGACATCCTGTCATACACAACGAGCTAGAATCGCTTTTAAACTAGGGTGGGAGTGAAAAATTCCATCACAAAAAGACCGTGCCGGAGTGAAAAATCAATTCACAAAAGATAAGCCTTATGAGCTCGTGACTGATGGTTTAGCAAACAAAGACATCTATTTCAAGTTGGCATGGACGTAATATCATAAACCTGAAAAAAACTATTTTGTTTCTTAACATCTTAGGCCATTAAAGTGGACCAGAATACCTTAAAGCATATAAATTTCATGACAGTGTAATGAGTATAAAAATTGTTAACACCAATAATTTGATGCTGCACTTTGTACTTCCCTTCCACAGCACTTCAACACAAAAGAAAGCAAAGAAATTCAATACCAAAATAGCAGAAAACTACACATCAGTCCATCACCAAGTCAAACACAATAGACATACCTCTGGCTTCTGTTAAGATGGGGTCAGGGAAAACAAACAGTTTGTCACTGTTTCCTACAAAATACCAATGCTTATTTCCATGGAAGTAGCCTAACTATGCCTAACTTAAAGAGGCCTTACTTCATCCAGTCCTGTCTAACCTGTTTATATCACAGCAGCAGTTGTGAGTCACTGATTCTTGCACAATTCCTTTTACCACTTGCTATGCACTTAACCAACTTAGCCTAACTTAGAGTAGCCCATATGTTGAGCATCACCTCAAGCCACCTATCTGTGGCCACCAGCACTTGTGATAAAAATTTCATAAGGCTGATTTTTGGCTGGTTTCAACTTGCATTTTCATTAAGTTCGTTTGTGTATGATTGTTGACATCAGACAAAGTTGACAACACACAAATCAAAACACTTTAAATCGCTTTGAACAACTTATCTTGACTGCCATGTTAACCTATGTTAACCTGCCATGTTAACTATAACCTATGCTAAGCACGGTAACGGGTATCTTCAACAAAACAATCTCTCTTCTCCAAAAGTAACATAACCTTTAGATGGCCATGCCAGTATTGCTGCTTGCCTCTTCAACTGCCGCAAAGACATCGATTTAGGCTTGTTCATTCATATTTAATGACAAAGGTTGAGATGTTGGCTTCACATTAGAAATGGGATGGTCTGACTATTTGTTACATACTAATATTTAACTCATAGTACAATTGCTATGCAGCTTAGAGTATCCCTGTGTTAAAAATATAGTGAATATGTGCATTGTGTGAATATGAGTATGTACAGTCATTTGACAGCCAGCAAACCATGACAACTATAGAACACATCTGGTTAAAGCAGCCATGAGGAACCACTTCAAGAAATTTGGGGCGAATAATCGGAAATATGGAACAAAATGAGCCCATTGCATGCCTTGTGGCATCATAATTTGTCTTATGACAAAACTCGATGGATTAAAACAGAAAATGGCTGTGGTTGCCAATCATGCGTTGAAAGCAGGTAAGGTAAGCAATAACTTCGTACACCGGAGACTTACTGGCTTCTTCCTTCTCCCCAGGACAAAAAGCCAGCACCTTTTGCGTAGTCTGCTGGCAGACAGAGTCGTCCCACTCACCCCCAAAATACAAACATCAATTATGCCCACCACCCTACGCGACAGAAATGCGAAACAAGTAAGAGGTGTGCGTGATAAACATCTCCAGAGGACAGAATTTCGCCATCGAGCACTTCTGTATTAGCTGCGTCAGGTCTGTCCACAAGCTCTGTATGGCAGCATTAGGATAGCCTTGTCAGGTAGCCTGGTGAGTTAGCCACTCGAAAGGCTTAAATTTATCATTATTGAGCACCGCCATGAACCAAGAAAACGGTTAACCAAGTGTTTAACGGAGCAAAAATGGCGGCAAAAATAAGTTCCGTATTTCAAGTTGTCTCCTTTCATTCCCTGTGAATTGCTCACTCTTGGGTGCATATCAAACATGTTTGGGCGGTTGGCGAATTAATCCAATTTATGTATGAAATACGCACAAGTTTGCAGTTGGAGAATCTTGCAAAGAAATTGGTCAACTTTTTAGGCAACGAGTGGTGCCTCTAAAGGCAATCGAAAAGAAAGGAAGAATAAAATGGTATCACACTCGTATGATACCGAGAAAAAACATAAGTAGTTAAATAAATATAAGGACTAATACTTTTCTGGCAAAATTTTGTAATCAGCTGATTTGACTTAAAATCTGTTAATATGAGTGCTCAAATAGTGATGTTCATCTTTTAAATTTGATTTAGAAGACATTTGTCGAGTTTTTGGCTACTGTATTTCGGGAGTGATACAATTTGGTAGTCAAGTTTCCTCTGGAAAAAATAAATACTTGGAGTAAAATTCTCTACTAGGCCTTGCTGGTGTTTGCACCAGGCTCTGCTTTCGTGGTGTGGTGGTGAGACAAAAAAAAAAAAAATAGGGGATGCGTTTTTGGCCTTGGCCTTGCATTTGGCACACAGGTGCCGATTATGATGCATTTCGCAAAAAAAGCAAACTAAATGCGTGCAAGCGGCTCGGGTCGCTGGGGTTCTTGGGCTTGGAGATATCATGTTTGGGCGGTTGGCGATACTGCTCTGTGCATACATAGTCATGATTCAGATCTAGTTGAGGCAAGACATAGCGATAGGTGTGGAGGTTCTGTGGTGCCTCGTTTATGCATGGTGGTTTCAAGTGAGCTCGGTTTTGGATGACATCTGAAAACCTCAGAAAGGGAAACAGGGGTTTGACATGTGCGATTAGACAATGTCAGGGAGGAGTGAAAAAATCCACATAAAGCATGGGGAAAAGGAGTGAACAATTCCTCCCCATAGGGTGTTTCATCACGCCCATAGTCGGCAATTCTAGGACACCGATAGCGGTGGTGGTAAAGCTGTTACGGCGCTCGGCTTTAAATCTGTCGGACCTGGGTCCGGGATTCATGACTCGCTGCCACGCCACTACCGCATCACACATGCTCCCTGCTTTAACGTGGCATCACAACCGCGGCGGGCAAGGCCTTGTCTAAGCTTAAGTATCTTCGGTTCGATTGACTGGACATTCAGTTGTATTACCATCTTGCTGGCATCTCCCGAAGCTGTACGCCAGTGCTGCCCTTGCCCGTGGTGATACGTTATGGTGGTAGCGGCACCGCTTGCCGCGGCGGCTGCGCTGCCCGGCCCCGCGCTCTCCCCGCCCACCCCACCGACGTCCGGCGCCCGCGGCGGCTGCGCTGCCCTGCCGCGCGCTCTCCCTGCCCACCCCATCGACGGCTGGCGCCCGTGCCGCCGCGCGTTCCCGGCCCCCCCCCGACGCGGCTCCCGCGGCGGCTCCTGCCCGCCCGCGTCTCGGCCCGACCGTCCGGCCGGCGGCTGCGCTGCCCGGCCGCGCGCTCTCCCGGCCCACCCCACCGTCGTCCGCCCGCGCGACTGCGCTGCCGCCGCGCCTCTCCCGGCCCACCCCACCACGCGGCGCCCGCGGAGCCTGCCGCCCTGCCCGCGCTCTCCTGACCCACCCCAGACGGCCCGGCGCCCGCGCGGCTGCGCTGCCCGCCCGCGCTCTCCCCCCCCCCACCGGGACCCCGGCCGCGCACTCTCCACTCCCTCCCACCCACCGTCGTCCAGCGCCCTGATTGGCGGCGGCGGCGACCCGGTCCCGTGGCAGCCGCTGGTCCACGCGCGCCGGGGACGCGCAGCCGGCCCGACCAGGGCCGGGGCCTGCGGCTTACGGCAGTCAGCTGTGTGACGCCAGGCGACAAAAAGTCACGAACTAGCACGTTGATTGATGGCAACATGTTGTTGCAGTTGTAGGTGCAGGTGAGCTTGTCTGGGATGTGGTGGCCGCGATGGTCAGCTGTTGGACAACCGCAAGAATAGTCAGGTGGCGCTGCAGGTCTTGACGTAAGGCTTTGGTTCGTTGGTCAGGCTTCTCACCTCAGTTTCAGCAGATATCCTCAACCAGATGTTGGGAGGGTGTCAACTCCTCGTAGGTGAAAGACACTCCTAACACGCCACAAACACACACTCGCAGTGGCGGCCCCCGGGACCGAGGTCAGGCTGTCTTGACGAGGGCGGAGGATGGGGGGCGGACCTCCGTGAACTGCAGCCACTCGAGGACGCCGCGCGCGTAGATCAGTGGCGCCATGTACGTTTGAACGTCCTTGAAATAGCCTGCACGACATAGTCTGATCATATTCGCGGCCGAGTAGTTAAGAAACTAGATGGTTTTGGGCCCTAAAAAGGGCAGAGCTGTGAACATCACCGAATTATTTTTAAAATGGATATTTCAGTCCAGAACCACATACAAATGTGGGCACTTCAGTGAATTGAGTGTGACGGGGTGTGGATGTGACCATGTGAATACAGTCAAATTGGCTGCAATTTCGTTGTTTGGTATTAAAATGATTATGAAAGTGACATATAAGCGGTGGGTGTAGCCGAAGGAACGGTAACCGGTCCATCGTGGGCGAGGCACGATGTGTTACGATTTAGGCGGGGGGAGGCACGTGTTCACGGCCGGCGTGCGCTGCTCCACAGCATCGATCGCTACATCTCAATTAGCTCTGGGCGCTTCAGCCACGGCCGTGTCTTGATGGTGCCAGGCACGTGACAGCAGGAGGCCCGGGTGGCGGCTGCCTGTCTTGGCCGGCTGCGCCGCCCGGACGGGGCTGGTGCCTAACGTCCGGGGTGACGCGATGAGGCTCGCCCCAGCGCACCACCCCTACCGGTCGGCTCAGCCGACGCCACTTTCATGGCCGATTTATCAGGCTCGAATGGTTTGAAGGGTCGGAGCTGCTGGCCGGCTGGCAGGCTGCCAGCCCCACAGCCGGGCGCAGTGCTGTCCGTGCATGTGTGCTTCTGACAGCCAGCGGCCGCCACCGGACCGTCTAACCGCCGGTACCGCCAGCGCCACCGCGGCGGCCCGCAGGTCTTCTGACAGCGTGCGAGCACAGCGTGTGCGCTTCCGCAGGCGCGTCATCCCGACCCTACACGGCCTTCGGCCCGCCAAAGCGCAGTTGAGTTCAGCAGCAGCCTCCACTGTGCGGCACTGATGGAAGTCCACCCGGACGTTGTGCGCCTGTATGACCGCCCGCACTCGTCCACCGCGGTTAACCTTCAGACATGATCTAGGGTGATCGTCACATGCACCACGCAACGCCCTCGTCGCGTGGGCGTCGGCAGCTTAAAGGAGGAGGTGTTCCACATTTATATCGGGTTTTGAACAAGAATAGTCATCTTGAAGACCTGTCGGAGCTGTTAATCTTGCACCTCTTAAGACCTAATCCCCTCTAGTTTCTGAGCTACAGACGCGCGAAAGCGGGCAAAGGTATATCAAGCAGAGCACTTCAAAGTCGCCTTGACATTGATGACGTCAAAATAACGTTATTTAAATCCTATCATTCCATAAACCATGCGGAGATCAAGGCTGAGATAATATATAAGTGTCGGGGCGTTCACATCTGGCGTTCTTGAGAGCGATTGCCAGAGCGCTGTTTAGAGCAGGCTTTTTCAATTAGAAAGTATGCCAATGCTTATAAGTGAGCTAGCTTCATCATACATCATGCTTGCCTTACCATCTTCAAATGTGAAACACTCCCCTTAAATCCAACATACCTCTTCACGCATAACGCACTGTCTGGACACCGATTGCCGTCTTTATTTTGATGGCTGCTGGGCGCACCGGATGGCCGACATGCCGCATGTCCTCCTGTCCACTCAGGCACGTCTCCACATACCTGGTCGTACCTGGCCTGCTTGACAACCTCCTTGACGACCCACGGGATGAGGTGTTTGCTGTAGCCGCTGCTCACCACCGCGCGGCCCATATATAAGGCCGAGTATTTTTGGCTCTCCATGACGGACGCGTCTGTGGCGGAGCCCGGGTCGGACGTCTCCAGTCGCCTGGAACAGGCACACGATGTTCACACCAATGGCTTGCTATGCGCCGCGGTGGTCATTGCTTTCTTGTTCACCGTCCTGAATATGCATGGGGCAAAGTGCTTAACATTCTTTCTGGTAAATTTGATATGAACCCTTTGAATGGATGAATTTCTGGGATCAGCGCTGACGCTAAGCAGTGCTTGTGTGAGCCCTGACCCCCACCATTCGATGGCGCAATTCCAGGCAACGGCAAAATTTAGTGGCGAAAGCTTAACGTGCCGCAATGCTCGGCACGGTCCGTCTTGCCCTCTGACGTCAACTGACCTTTAGCGCGATCGCTGCCACCGGCCGCAGGCCATACCCGTCGAGGGCAAATAGCGAGCGCCCTAAACCGACTCGAACACGCCCTGCCTCGGGTTGGTGGATCGGAAGACAACCGCTGTAACCAACTGAGCCACCGAGACGGACATTGGGGTGTTCCAGCGTGATACACCGTCTAAACTTCAGCAACCCACTTCCTCTGGTTCCAAAGGTTCTATCTAACCACCTTTCGCCCAGTCCTTCCCCCATTTTTACTCGGTTTGGAGCACAGGGCGGGAAGAAAGATTTTGAACATTGATCGATTTCAGGTCTGTGAGCGCGAGGCGCCAAATCGATCAAACCGATACTTAAGCCGAAGAATAAAGCGTGTGACGTGCCATGTGCTCAGACAGGTGTCTCTGACTTCGGTACGGTCACGGTCAACCACAGACGCAACAACATCTTGCCTCAGTCAGCGTGAAATCGACTCATTCGCACTTCTGAATGATTAGCGATACTGATAACGAGCGATACTGACCCGAAATATGAACTGGACACCACAGCAATCCACCACAAACATTCCGCCACAAAGAAGTTCAGCACGAGCCACGTGCCACACATCAGGTTGTCGCAAGCCGGGTGCCAGGTAACGCAAACGCAAAACGCTGCAAGCTGGTTGCTGGCATCGATAAAAACCGGCAGTAGAAACTACTGGTGGTCAAAGATGCCAGAGACTGACAGAAACTCAAGCACTGCAGAAAATCTTGTAAGGCAATGGAGCAAAGTGGAACAGCCAAATAGGACAAACACCATGTTAAGCATCAATAGCGTTAAGTGCATGGTAAAATTGCAAAATCACACTATGTTTTGTGGGATCGGCTTCAATGACCCTATCTGACCTATCTATCACATTTATCCTATCTTCAATGAAACTAGTCCCTACATTTCCTAAACGATTAGTTATGCATTCTTTTACTCTGGCAACGGACTAATGCAGAGAAACAGACGACCACAACTGCCGCCGCCCCAATGGCAGAATGACGTACACCACCCGTATTAGCGTAAAGTTGGGTTAAGTTGGTTAAGTGCATAGCGAGTGGCAATAGGAATTGTGCGAGAATCAGTAACTCACAACTGCTGTTGTAGTGCAGACAGGTTATACAGGATGAGATGAAGTAAGGCGTTTTTAGGTTAGGCATAGTTATGATACTCCCATGGAAATAAGCATTGGTATTTTGTAGGAAATAGTGACAACCTGTTCGTTTTCCCTGACCCCATCTTAACAGAAGCCAAAGGTATGCGTATTGTGTTTGACTTGTTGATGAGCAGATGTATAGGAGTCCAAGTTTTTTTGTTTGTTTGAGTGTTTTATGCTTGTGGAAATTCCTGTTGTTATGTTGTTATTGAATCCCTTTCCTTTGTGCTGTGTTAAAAATGATGTGCAAGGGAAGCGCAAAGTGTAGCATCAGATTATTGGTGTTAATAATTTTTATGCTCATTACACTGTCATGACATATCTGTGCTTTAATGTATTCTGTTCCGCTTTAATTTCCTAAGATGTTAAAAGACAAAACAGTTTTGTCAGGTTTTCGATATTACGTCCATGCCAACTTGAAATAGATGTCTTTGTTTGCTGAAGCATCAGCCACGAGCGCAAAGGTTCCGTCTTTTGTGAATTTATTTTTTTCTCTCCCGGACGGTCTTTGCGCGATGTAATTTTTCACTCCCACCCTAGTTCAAAAGCGATTCTAGCTTTCTGACCGCTATTATGGGCGGTATTTGTAGTTGGCGGGCTATTTCTACGCCTTTGCTTCGCACGCTTCCAGTGCACATGCCGCCATAGCTCATAGCTGTTGTGTGACGATTTCTTGACAGCGGTATGAAAAAGTTGTCGACAGTCCATTCTGTCCTGCCAGTGGTTCCGTTCATGAAGACTTTTCAGTAAAGGAGATAAAGTTATTTTTCGTTGATGGAGTATATGGTAGCTGTAAGTTTTTCTGCTTAAAGGCGTTTAGTACGCATTGCTACGATACTGCCGCGCTGTGTGCATCTGTAGCGAATCATGCATCTTTGAGCTGGTGGTCGTGATTTTTCACGTGTTACGCATGGTTCCGGCATCATTGTGGTAGAAATGTGTTTGATTGGCAGTGAGGTGAAGACAATTATGGTTAAGCCAACTTAGTTAACACATTTTAAACCCCCGAGTCTCTCAGGAAGGGACTGAAAGGAACCTGAAGGTACGTGCTGCAGTAGGTACGCGGGGTAGGCCTGCCTTCTTCTAAGGAAGTTGGCTTTTGCCTATCAAGTCATGTTTTTCTATTACGTTGAAGTGCTTCTCATTCTTGCATACCTGACTTTTGCAGTGAATCTCTATGCCTTTATGGTCATTGGCTGCTGAACGATTCCGGCTTCAGCATGGTTGTGTCACTGTCCACTATTTGGGCAACACAGGTGGCTGCTAGTTATGGCCTGGATCGAAGGTTATATGCATGGATGGAATATTTGGGATGTGTCATGGGCATTGACTCTTAAATTGGGACAAATGGGATGTTATCTCAATGATGTGTTAAGTGATAAAAAACTATTTATGCCCCTGAGTTGTTAAACATTTCTGGACAAAGGAAACAATGTAGGAGTGTATGGAGACAGCACCAGTTTATTAATCCATGGTTTTGCTCAGCACAGTTCAAGAAACAGTTGAAATATTATCATGTCATTAATGTGGCCCCTTAAATCAGTTGTAACACATGTAATTGGGAAAGAGCAATATGCTACTCATAGGTACTTTAGAAGCTGCACTAACTGACTTTGCTTTGAATGATGATGTTATGCATTTTAAGTACTTGCCTTCAAACCTCAAGATGTGTCATGGCTATTGTCCATGTTCTGTCAACTAGAAATAAAATTGCGGGATGAAGCAGGATTTATGATACGTACATATGGTTATGTGGTCTGCCCTTTATTATGATTTAGATTTTCAAGTGGGGTTGAGATAAAAAAGTCACAGCAGTGCTATAAAATATGATCTCAGTAGGTCAGATTCTGCCTAAAAAACAATGGCATGTAACATTGTAATTAGAGGCTATTTTTGAGGTAATGCAAAATGCCAAAATACCAGTTTTTTTGCCATGGTATAGTTTAATTAGTTCTGATCATTTCAGGCATACTTGTGTTTCTCATAGGATACTGTCCCAAACCTGTAAGGACATCTATAAATTCTTGGTTTTCATTCATTACAAGCAGTGTAGAAAGTTATCCAGCATTGTTTTTAATATCATTTTCTCCCTTGTAAAGTTTTGCAGTGCACAGATGTGGAATGCCTAAGATATATTGACATGCAAAAACCAGGGGTGCATGAGCAATGCCGTATGATTCAAGCCAAATTGAAGGAATATTATGATGAATGTAACAATTCTGTGAAGGATATGAACAGGACAGCCACCATGATGCTAGTGTTCTTATCTACTGCACAGCATGAAGCATAGTCCCCAAATCATTTCATGTATACAAATACTGACAACATTGAAAGAAGGCACTAAGCACACACTCACAAAGAACCAGTGTATTCCAATTAAATTGAGGTAGTAAAAATGTGACTTGGTGCGTTCACTTGCCAATAATTCGGCAGGTCAAGATATAAGGTATTACACACTTATTTGTGAGCATGATTTTCATGGGCAGTTGGCTGAGGCAGTGGCAATGCATCATATTTTTGGATGGGGTTGGAGGGGGGGGGGGGGGGCAATCAACTCTCAAGGGCCCTCTAACATTGTGGGCCCACTGATGACGGTGCCCCCCAACCCCCCACTCATGAATGGGGAGACCGAAGTTGCTGAAGGACCACAAATCTGACAGCCCAATGCTCAAAAAAGTTTGTTCACTGGATTTGATTTGCATGATTTTGAAGGGTTGTTTTCATGCATTTTTTTCTGTTTTGCCCTCTAATTGAAATAGAAAGCCAGAGCGTCCAGAATGCGTCGCAAAAGTCTATAAGATGAACAGAGCAGTCATTGAAGGCAGGTAGGCAAGCTCTGCATCGAATAAACTGATCATGTATTCACTGTGCTTGGCCTATTCAACCATTTGCTAAATCGATATCAGGCAGGGGCACTGCCAGGAGTTCTTGGCGTTTTTTATGTTGAGAAGCCCGTGGATGAGACACCAGGGCAGGCCACAACGGGTTTGGCTTTTGCTGTGGATATGGCCAAGTGATGTGGCCTTTCTTCCGATGTTATTTGCGAAAACAGTGCGTGAAATAGTTTTAAGCCTTGGGGCTCGCAATCTTTCGGGGCAAACGCACCAACGCCAGGCGTTGCAGTCTTCCCAGGCGGCGCGTCTTTGGCCTGCAGCTAGCGCCATAATACTCTGCTTTATGGCATCGATTCTCACGCGTGAATGGGCGCCATATGACCAACGTAGTCGGTGTGCCTCAAAGCCCAAATCATCATCATCACGCGTGAAGCGTAGCCTGGGCCATATACCTTAGCTGTGGCAATGTAGCCTGGGCTGTGCATCTTAGCTGGGCAATTTCATTTTCATATCGATAATGGGAACGCATTAGCATTTACAGCGCCACGAGTTGGTGTTGTCATGACACAATCTCTTATGAGTTCAGAGGTCTTATGCTTAATTGTCGACCTTCAAAAGACGACCAACGCGATAGAAGAGACATTGCTAATGTTTCCAGTGTTCGTTGTTCATGCCAGGCTTATGATCACTAGTACCTCAATCCTTGCTTATGTTCCGATTGCGAGCGTGGGTGCTCCAGACTATGTTTCTCACTAATTTATTATACACAAATGTAGGGACGCCGTTAGGCAAGCATCTATACGCCAAGTATATGGGTTTTTTATACCGCTTCAATCCACTCTTTTGAACATTAAGGACAGCCCTTAACTTTTCCGAGCAGGGGTATGACACTAAGGGGCATGTTGCATTTATTGGTCTGTGGTCGAGGAGCCAGAGGAGCTAGAAACCAGCCAGAGGAGCCATACCAGGTTCGGGTACATACCGCCTGTTAGCTGTAATTTTGGCGACGGTGAGGTCTGGGCCATTGTCAATCCAGAGCCTTCAGAATGTACGTCATGCACTGCTCCCCTTCCTGGCGAGAAAGGCCCTCTGGCCGCGACTGTTAGCTTTGGATCGGCGCAGACTCCCGTACTGACGTAAATGATCACTTACCGCCGCCGTGGGACACGGACACCAGTTTGAACTATTGTGCCTCTGGACGAAACGGGAAAGAGTACTGGGGCCCCTGACTAACACAGGGT